GCTCTGGATCCTCTCATGTATAACACTTGCAGCCTTAAACTAAATGCTTAGATTCAGCATATTCATACCTGCCTTCTGTTTGCAAACCCCCAGAGTGCTGTCTCCATGATAAAGCTACAGAAGAGTACTTTGTTTTTTTATATCAACTCTATATTATTTTTACTTTGCTTAAGAAAAAGCAAAGTCATAGAGAAGCTGGGTAGGGTAGCTCCCACCTGAATCCCAGCATTCTGGGAGGCTGAGGCAGGAGGATTGAAATTTGAGTCCAGTGTGGGTAACCTAGCAACTTTGCATGACCCTATCTCAAAGTAAAATTTAAGGGGTGGGGGTGGAGATAAAGCTCAGTTTTAAGGCCCTGTGTTTAGTCCCCAGTTGGGGCGGGGGTGCAGAAAAAGACCCTAGAGAGCTTTGTGGTTTATTAACAGTAAACAGAAAAGGATCAATGAAGTAAGCATTGAGAGAAAAAACTGTTAAGAATATGGTGACATATTGCCAAATATAACATTCATGACATCTACAGGAAATGTGACTATGTCCAAGTACTCTTACCTTCTCTTAATAGTGCTCCGACCCTGTTTGTCTCCCAAGAATTCATACAATCACACATGCAACAGCATCTATTTACTGGGCACCCAAGATATATCAATTAGGGATTAATATGGGTGCAGCGACAAAGCCAAGAGCGAGACAGAGCCAGCCTTCCCAGAGCACAACGAGGTGACAGCAACAGGAACAGCTGCTACACACTTGGATTCTGCTTCCTCTGTCACTGTGCATCCTTTCCCCCTGTGTTAAAATACAGGCTAGACTCTGACTTTTGGAAAGACTGGTTCCTTCAAATTTCCGAGTCAATTGTTTGGCAGAAATCTAAGCTCTCTAAAAGACAGGCTGGGAGCTGGTATCTTTCAGTCAGTCCGTGCAGCTTCCTCACACTCGCCTCCTTGTAGCCACCCTCCCTATCCTTGTGTTTTTCCGAACAGAGGAAAGAGAAAGCAAGGCCCTGGTCTGTTGTGATTATAATTGAAGAGGTTTTGGAGGACCTGTTTATGTCCAGACTTAAATTACATTGCAGTGTTCAGAAATACTTTAAAATTTTATAGTTCTGTGATGGTTTTAGTTAAATCTAGTACGTGTGGGCCAGGGATTTAGCTCAGTGGTTCCGTTGCCTGCCTCACAAGCGCAAGGACCCGAGTTCGATCCCTGGTACCCCCCCCC